CCACCCTGGGCTACATGAGTTTCTCTCTCTCTTCTCTCTCTCTCTCTCTCTCTCTCTCTCTCTCTCTCTCACACACACACACACACACCCACACCCCACATACTCACTGTCACAAGCAAGGTTTTATATCCTTTTATATTAGAAATGGTCTTTCTTATTGTAACTCCTAAAATCTAACCTTTTCTTCCCTCAAAACTTTACTGCATTTAAACATATTGTGGAATCCCATAATAAGGCCACAGATATATCTCATAGTAAGGCCACACCTTGGGAGTTAGCACCATTTGAATTGAAGCAGGTACTTTGCTTTCATAAGTAAAGCTACTGTTGCCATTCTTGTGTCTGAATATCTTCCTATCTACTCAGATCACTTCCTTCAGATCAGTTCCTAGAAGAGTTCCTAGGTCCTTGGACATGTTGGACTCTGCCCTGGAATTGGCTTCCTTCCTAAAAATAACCTGTGTTCCTTTAAGCACCTGGTGGGGGTCATTCTCTTCATGGTCTGCTCAGGGCCGGGGCTCCTCTGCATGTACCAGTGAACACTTGGAACTGACCTCATCCCCATCTGCCAAGGGAATAAGGCATCAGGCTACAAAGTAATGTGTTTCTCAGGTTTCCAGGAGAGCCCGGTCATCTAAGGTTTCCTGCTAAGTGGTGTACAGTGCAGATGGGAACAAGGCAGAACGTGTCAGTCATTTCCCTCGGGCTTCAGATAGTGCTGGGCTATGGTCAGTCTGAAGTAGCACAGCCTTGCACTTGGTCCTGAAGCATTATTTTGCAGCATGCTGGAGAGAAAAGGAAGATGAGGGGAAAAAATCAATTAAATTTTTGCTTGAGATTAGGTTTATCACAGGAGGCAGAGGCTGAAAGTAAGAATGTATGAAAGTAGACCTGCCTAAGCTGCAAAATAGGCTGCCATGTCCTGAGTACAGAGAAAGAAATGATGCAGCAATAGAGCTTCCATCAATGATAGGAAAAAAGACTGCAGTCTCCACCTGCTCAGTGTTAGTAGAGGGTCTAGCTTCCCCTTCTTCTGGAAAAGACATCTCAATTGAAAAATCTGCATGGGTGGGTGTGCACACTTCTCACATGTCTATATACTTGTATGCTTGAACAGTGTATGTAAATATAAAAGTGTGCATTTATAGCTTGTTTTGAGCACTTGCTTTCTTCTGAGAAACTGCAATGATATCCAGGCTAGCATGGAAAGCACCCTAACAGGGGTGATGGGTCAAGGAGGACTTGGCCAGGTGTCCAGAGGTTCTTCGAGTTTAATCCTGCCCCATTGCTGTAACCAGCAGGTGACAGTATACTATAACATTTTCATACTCTTCACCCTTAGTCTTGTTAAGTTGATAGATAAAGGCAGAAAGCTTTACCAACATACTCTCTGGAGTCAAAGTACAGATGTAGAGTAGATGGGTAATCTGGGAACAAAATGCTATTTCCATAGAGTGACATTATAGCTTGATGCTTTCCAACTTTGAATCATTTGCATCAACCTCTATTTACTGTTTAGGCCACAACCATATAAGTCATGCCTGTTACTTGTTTCATACACCTTAAATTGATTTTAAAGTAACTTCCCTGCATGTCTTCATCGTAATGTATAAGATTTCCAAAAACATGAATTTGACATCTTCGTTATATTATTCTATACTATAAATGAAAATAAATATCTAGCTATTGAGTTAAGAAGAATTAGCCATATCTCATTTCAGAATTACCTGTATACCACTTGTGGAATGTGTTGAGTCCACATACTTGACTCTTAATTGTGACTGATTCCAATCTTTCCTCGTAACTTAAGTATATAAACTCAAGATTGCTTTGTCCGCTTGGTTAGAAGAAATGAGCCCAGATATTATCAGTGAATGCTTAGCTTTCATGTTTGCTGTGACACCTGTCAAGATTTGATGTGAACTTCCCTGTCTTCCCTGCCACAGAGCCAGTACTCTTAGGGGGCTTGTATTGGGTTAGTATTCACACACATGTCTTGCACCATACATACCTTTCCTCTGTCTTCTGCTTTTTAGAAGCTCATTTCCTCTTATGTCTGTCTGTCTGATCTCTTGAGTCTAGTTATGGTCCTGTTTCTTCTCTACAGTACCTGCAGTTTCATAGGTTCTCTGCATCCAATGGGGTAGCCCTTGCTGCCATCCGCAGGTAAGATCTTAATGAGAAGGTTGAGGAACCTGCATCTGAGGTGGAAGTTGAATCATTATTGTCTGTAGACTGCCATCCCACTTCATGGGTCCTGCTCCACAGAAGCTGAGGCCCATTCCTTCCTCTTTGAGGCTACAGCGTGCTTGTGGCCTCATTTTGTCACTGGCCTCCCTCTTCCCTGAGAGGATAATTGTGAGGGTCACGTTGGGAGTTCATAGGCTTAGTCCTGTCTTTGCACCTGTGCTTCTGACACATGGAAGTATCTGGTGATGCTCGAGATGATGCTCATAGATGTTCATCCCATTTTTCAGAAAGAGTTTTTCTTTCTGTGTAGGAGGACTAGTTGCATACTCAGACACCTACTCAGACACATGACTTTATGCTTCCATCTATCCAATGAGTTGAATCTTTGCCAACTTGTTTTCCCTTTTCCCTAAATGTGAAGTTGTGTTTATGATGAGAGTTGTCTCTTTGCAGAATGAGGAGTCAGAAAGTTTCTCTTGCTCCAGGTTAGGTGGAGAATTAGGTCACTCAGAAGACCATGTGAGTCCTCCTAGTATAGGCAGTATGTGGTAGAAGTGGGGCTGGGGATGAAATGGGAGTTAGCCTTTGAGATGAAAACTCTGGAAAAGCGCAAAGGGAGTGATGGGAAGATACAGGATTTAGAAGGCATCGTAGAAGCACATGCAAATCATCAGAAAATCACTGAATGTTTTAGTAAGAAGGAGACGAGATACCAAAGTTTTCTAAACCTGGTCAAGGAGTGGTTCCTGAAAGGGGAAGTTTTGAGAAAGATACTGAAGGAAAGGGATTTCTAATCTGGGCAAAGGACTGAAAGGACGTTGTGGTGCAAAACAGACAGAGCAGGGCAAAGTCCTTCTGTAAGTACCAGTAGGTAGCTCTGTCTCTAGAGCAGATGAGGGAACTGTGGAAAGATGGTTTCTCTGAGTGAAACTTAGAAGACATTTCCCCATAGAAATGAGTTTTCTCTTTATCTGTGTCTAATATGTATAACTCATCAGAGGGAGTTTCATGTTGGGCCCTGTGTATAGCATATAGTATGCCTATTTTCCAGTTGGAGGGAAATAATAATTATATATAGTGAGGTACTCAGGGTCACCCAACAACAATATAGTCAATTTGTACCCTGTCAGTGTCGCTCAAAGCTATATCATCAACTAGTCATAACCCAGATTTCCAGTTTTAATGTGTGGGACAGATCTAGGGGATATGGTTAGGGACGGCTGTTGCAGTCTAGTCTGGAAACTCAGACGTTTCCAGTTCCTCTCATGAACTTGGAAGTTAAATTGCATTAAGCTTGGGGG